TAAAAGAACCACCTTCTGCCATTCCTGCCTTGACTCAGTGCTATTTATACTGAAATTATCCACCATTTGGGGTTGCCTGGAGAACTGGGAACTCGAATCCTTATTTCAGCCAAACTTGGTGAAAGGATATCAAACCAAACCAATGAATACATTGTCCCAGACAACACACCCACAGCCAGCTGAACAACTGAAAACATGTTATTAACATGAATATTGATACAATTCACTCAAGAAAAAGCACCTCATGCAAACCAGCCCCCAGAATGAAAGGGGTCATCATGTCACCTCACTGGGGATATGGGTTTGAGTTAATCATTCAGAGACCATTATCATAGAATGATAAATTTGTTTGGGTTGGAAGAGACCTTAAAGCCCATCTCATTCCACCCCCTGCCATGGGCAGGGACACCTCCCACTAGCCCAGGTTGCTCCAAGCTCTGTCCAACCTGGCCTTGGACACCTCCAGGGGTGGGGCAGCCACAGCTTCTCTGGGCTATGTGCAGAAAAACTCAAACACTCCCATGGGCTGTGAAAATGAACCCTCCATCATAAGCATTGATAAGTGGATTAGGGCTTTCCTTTAATTACAGCACATACATTCCTCTGCACCGTTTGGTCAGTGCAGTTCCACTGGCAGTTATACGGAAAAATTCTTTGCAAGGAAAGAAAACATAACCAGTTACTCTGTTTTTAGTAGAAGAGCATGATGAGCTTGATGGCCAGTCAATCACTGCAAGAAAAATCAACAGCAATCTAAACGCTCCGATATTTCAAGCCTTCAAGTGACCTTTCGAGAGGATTTCAGTTTGAAAATACAATATGAGGAAAAGCTCTGATTGCAGGATTCATCTTATATCCAAAGCCTTTACTAAATGTCTCTTGCTAGAAATGTAAAATAAACAGCTGGGGGGATCAAAGGCAGGGAAAAATGAAAGAAAGTAAAGGTGGGACGGTGCTTTATCTGGATCAAACTACATATAAAAGTATTTGTCTTCGATTATATGTGTTGGAAATATCCCTCAGCTTTCGGGAGATCAATCTCTCCTCAGGTAGTCAGACAAACTGGGAAAGACAAGGTGGATACAGGAAAAAAAAACAAAAAACACTGTCACAGAAAAAAACCCAATCCCACTCCAAAGCAGTCCCTGTGCTGGAAAATGCAATGGAAAGTAGGAAAATAGAGAAGTTTACTGGGAAAACCCTGGAGAATAAGGAGGAGACTGCAAAGAAAGCCTTGCCCACCTACACCAGAATAGAACAGCACAGTTAATGCTTTTAAAGTTGAGAGAGTTTTCTTGGATTTTTTTTTTCATGGGTTTTTATGGTTTTTTCACCAACTAAAAGCTGAAGAAAAGTTGGTTATAAAAGCCTCTGTATTTTTGGACAGAGTGGAGAGAGAAAAATCTCAGGTTTAAAAAAAAAATTTGAAAGAACAGTGAAGACAAGGAAAGTTGCATTTGTACCTGAAGCATAAAAATAGCAACCAAAGCAATACAGTGTGTGAGTTCAAGTAAGAATATATAGTATAGAAATGCTGAGTAATCCAGAATGCCAGCTTAATTTGAAAAAAAAGGGATATTGATATCACAGGCATCTCAAAAATATGATAGGATTAAGATACGTCAGTGGACGATATAAAAAAAATAAACTCAATATAAATTATATGGAAATGACAGAAGATCAAGTTGACAAAGGAGCACAGCCAAGAACCAAGGAAAATATACAGTAAACCAGGTAAGTAAATAAAATACAGCAGTGCCTCTAAATCTCCTTAAACACAGTTTGCATCCTAAAACAGCAGAACTATACTAAGAACTAATATTTCCCCCGAATGGCCCAGAAAAAGGAACATTAGTGGAAAATACTGGACTAAATAAGTTGGGACTCGTCAGCAAAAGTCAAAAGAGAGGGAGTAGGGTAGAGATGGACAAGAATAACAAACATCTTCAAAAGATGCATAGGAAGAGATGTGGGAATGTTATAAGATAATTTTTCTGCACGACATGCAATGAAATTGTGAACCTGAATGACCAGAATCAGGATAAGGCTGTAACAGGATCCTTGCTCTGGCCCAGTGCTGTTATTGTGCTCCCATCACTATATAAAAGACACTGTGAGCATCCTTCAGAAATATTTGGGAAAATAGGACCTTAAGAAATAATGCAAAGATGGATTTGAAGGGGGGTTTTGTTGTTGTCTTGGGAATTTGGGGTGGGATTTTGTTTGGTTGGTTTTTTTAATTTGCTCTTTTGCAGACCATATATACACAGTCAATGGTGTACTACAAGGATTCATGAATGTGAACTGCAGTGTTTTACCGTGAGAGGACACAGCTTGGGAGATCATAAAATCAAAGAACAGTTTGGCTTGGAAGGGACCTTAAAGCCCAACAAATTCCACCCCCTGCCATGGGCAGGGACACCTTCCACTAGACCAGGTTGCTCCAATCCCTGTCCAACCTGGCCTTGGACAACCCCCTTTTCACATAAAGAGAATTCCAAAGAAAATTCTACCCTTCCCAAGGAGTAAATTGATCCAATAACTCCATTACACAATTATTTATAGTATATAAATCACCAAAAAAAAAAAAAAAAACCACAACAAAAGGAGTTCAGAGCCACAGTTCTCCTTGATACATATTTGCAGAGAAATTATATAAATTAACAAAACAGAAACAAGCTTAGAGGTTCCCCCTCACACTTACTGATGCCAAAACAACATACACTGGGCTGAAGAAGAAACCTCTGCTCTAAAATAAAAGTTAAGCTGTTTATTGAAACACAAAGCAGCAAGTCAAGGCTTTTGCCCATCCCATATTCTGGGATAACAGTCTAGAGAGCAAGGTCAGAAGTTTAATATTCCTATTGATGTTAGGAAACAATGACAGATTTATTGTAAAGATTTGTCAGCAACAGCAGTGAGGTCACAGTGCCCCAATACACAGAAAATGTTCATCTCCCTGTACCCCCATTACAGCTGCAGGATAAACATTCCCTTACCCAAGCCTTTGGCTTGAGAAAACATGTATTTACCTTATAAAGCTGTAATTCTGCATCAATATTCAACTAATTGGAGGTTTCCTGTCATTAATTTGGATAATATCCATTCATCTCACATAAATAGCTTCTAGCAGCTTCTTTAATTTAACCTTGCTTTTAACCTTCTTTTTTTCCCTGTCACGCAACCAGTAATTCAGTGCTCACAAATGACCTCCCGTGCCATGGTCATGCCATAACAATCAATGGTTGGGGTTTCATAAAACAGATTAAATTCTACAGCAGTGGCTTCTGTGAATCAGGAGAATGTGTTCCTTTTAGCTGCTCAGAGTTAATCTTTGATTTTTAGCTGAGTGCACTGCGTTGGAAAGAGTAAACTGGGGACACATTGTATTTTTGTTATGTATTTTTGTTACTTACATGGCTGAAATGGAAATAGAGCCATAGCATCCATGGCACTAAAGCTGACTTTTAAAGATTTTTGCCTCTTATCTCAATACTTAAAATAATATGTGAGGAGAAACTTTCCATGACAAAGTGTTTCTGTATAAATTTTGAGATTATTACATTATACTCTAATGATTATACTTTCTACCTTGTGTCACATCAGATCAGAACGAGGCAGAGCTGAGGATAATGTTCCCACAAAGATTTAGAGGTGGCAGATGATTCCTAAGTAAAAAATTACCTCCATCACAGCAAATCACATAACATGTTTTGTTCAACACTAAATTATTATTCACCATTTAAATTAAGGATTGCAAGGGAAATTCATTCTGAGCCTTTTCCATTTCCCTCATATTCACAATTTGGCTAATGAACCAAGAAACCAATTAGTGAAACATCTCAATTTATAGCAGGTTGAGGTAATCCTTAGCCAGGGCACAGTTAAAAATCCTGCACTGTGAAAGGAAGACTTTTCATCTTCAGAAACAGTGCTGGGGAGTTAATGAGCCCTCTTGAAACAGAGCATCAGTGATGCCATTTATGGCTGCCCCATCCCTGGAAGTGTCCAAGGCCAGGTCAGAGCAACCTGGGCTAGTGGAAAGTGTCCCTGCCCATGGCAGGGGGGTGGAATGAGATGAGCTTCAAGGTCCCTTCCAACCCAAACCATTCCATATTTCTATGATTCTTTACAGATTTTATGATCCACAGCTAAATCCTTCTTAATAGGTGTCTCAGGTAGTTTCTCTAATTATACATAAATGGCTCATTAAAGGGACAAAGAAACAGGAGATGGACTCTAGACCTGAGATTCAGAAGTGTATTTTCCTGTTCCCAGAACAAACCCATTAGCTGGGTGGAAGCGTGGGGCAGGGAAACAATAGAGGGCTCATAGGATGAAAGAAAGCACATAAAGGAATAGGGAAGGCAATCCACTGCTCGAAGGAATTCTTTCCTCAAGGAGCTGCTCATGCATTTAGGACAACAAAAATGTTAATGTACTTTAATAAAGTACATTAAAACAAAAGAGCCAGGAAGTGCAGTCAAGACATTCCCTCTGCTGTTGTCAAACCAGAGGAGGTAACACGGAATACAGCCTTGTTTGCTAAACCCTATCTCTTCCATGAGGTTTCCATCCCATTGCCACCTGTTTTTTAACAGTGTTATCACCCTTGGTCAAACTGATTAAGTAGATATATTTTTTCCTGGAGAGGATTTGTGCACAAGTGCCAGACATGAATCAACTGCTTATTCCTCTATTAAACTGAGTCAAATCCTCACATCCTTACCCAGGACTCTAAAACATTTCCCACCTCCCAACCTCCCTACCATTTCTCTCATACCTCAATCCATGACATCACAAAGCCAAATCCATTCCCACCTCTCCAGACATCAGCCCAAATGCAACTAACTGGGGTGTCTCAGAGGGGGAGACACCTGAGCTGGAAGAGGGGCAAAGTCATAGGAGTATACAGGGATCTCTAAAAGGTATGGAATTTTTTGGAGGTACTGCCTGAATGGAGGTATTTATCTCCTGCAGCTCAGTTAAGCACTTCCATAAGTCATTTGGGAACAACTCATCCCATATTCCAGTAGCTCTGTGTGTGCACTTCACAGTTTCCCAGGTTTGGAGGAATTTCATTTCAACAGGAGAGCACTTCCAGAGATGACCCTCTGCTGATACCCTTTCTGGCAATCAGGCTGTGCAATCCCAGCTGGAAAAGCAGAGAAGCAAGAGAAGGGAAACACTTACAAGGGAAGTGGAGCCTGCTTGACATATTTGAGTGTCAGGGTTGGACACGATTCAGGAATTGTGTGTAGACACACTCAGATCACTACAAACAGCAAGTGCAAGGAATGATTGGAACTACTCAGACATTATTGAGCTGCAATCAACTAATCTCTTGGGAAAGAAACCAGGAGTCACGAACAGCTTAAGGTAAATGTGAGAAGAGGGAAAAAGGAAAACAAGGATTAGGCTGCGTAAGGAACAGAATGCAGTATGGAAAGTACAGTAGCAATAATATAATCTAGTGATGTCCTTAAGTGTTGTGTCTAGTACTGATTTGTGCCTGTGAAATTTTAAGAGGACCTAAGTTGATTAGGTATATTTGTTATTTTAATCCTTGATGTACTAGGTACTCCTATAGCAACAATTTGGGAATGGCCAATAAGCATAGGAAGCTGGTTTTTTAAACTCAGTGCCATCAATAACCACAATTTGGCCAAAAAAATATTTAATTGAAATGCAATAAAGAGCTCATCTGAGGCTTGGACTCGGTTTGATGCTGGGTGGTAGAAGTTCAGCCCCTCCCTTTTCCTTAGAATACTAAAGAAAAAGGAGAATGAACTTGACTTTATGTACAGCAGTGGTAATTTATGAGAAGCATGAGACAGTAATTGAGCCAGGAGTAGAAGTGGAAGTCTCCTGTGACAGCCTGTAATTGTCAGAGCTCCAGTGAAATGCAGCAGACACGGATCAAGTAATATTTTGAATGCCTGGATGTACTTGCATCAAACCTGGCCTCCAGACCTCTGGAGATCTGCTTCTCACTGCAGTTTCGTCCTTCCACTTTCATACAGAAAACATTACCTATACATCTTTCTGGTTATTTCTCCACTTTATGCTGAAAATATTTCATATAGAAGTGCATAAGAATTTCCATCCCCTTAGCAACTGGGAGACTCCTGCTTGAAGCAGTGATGGGAAGGATGGGGCTCTGGGAATGTTAGAGGCAAGCAAGGATTCTGTGGGTGTGAAATTGTTGGCAATTATGTCTGATCACTGGCTGCACATGTTTTGCTGAATGTGTTCAGACTTACTGTGGAAATTGGCCTGAAGTATTACGGAATTTTGGAAACCCTGATTAAAATAAATGGCGTTCAAGACACTTGTACTGCAGAGAGACTCTGGAGTCCAGGGAGAGCTCTGTATGAGCAGGATGTGTCAGACACCAGAACAACGAATTAAAGAAAGGAATCGGCTCAGGAAATATTATTGCTGGTTTCTGAAAACAAGCTGAGACGCAGTTGCTACCTGAGGAGCACAAAGGGGAAGAGAAAGAACATGGGAAGTAATAAAGCAGAACTTGGATGTAAGAGGCAGAGCGGCTCACTGAAGATCCCAACAGTACATGAGCACAGGTGATTGAGACTAAATCACTCCACGACCCTCTAGGCTGGGAGGGTTGGAAAGGCAGTACCAGCACGTGAGAAAATCCCCCTTCCTCACTCTTCCCTTATCCGCCTCTCCCAGACCCAGGGCAGGACTTCATTTCCCACCCTGTAAAACGCAGGCAGCAGCCCAGGTTTCCTTGCAGCTCACTGAGCTGTTCCTCAGGTTTCTCCCTGCTGGCTCTTTCTGACCTTTCTGCTTCCCAAGCTCCTGGAAGGAGCCACTGAAACAGCTCTTTCACTTTCCACAAGCCTATCAAGCCTGCATTCAGCCCTGTTCCCTTGGAGGCTTCCACAAGCCTTCCCAGTGCAGTCCTGTTCAATCTGCAAGAGGTTTGCAGGGAATGACAAAACTTAGGAGTCAGACTTGCCTCAAACAGGCACTGCAGGAATCATAGAATCCCAGAATGGTTTGGGGTGGAAGGGACCTTAAAGACCATCTCATTATACCCCTCTGCCATGGGCAGGGACACCTTCCACTAGCCCAGAGTTCCAGGAGCTGTGCTCCTGCCCTGTTGCATCCCTTGCTCCTTGTTCCAGCCTCACAGGGTGAAAGCAGCATTGGAAATGCAAGTGAAGGCCCTTCTCACAACCCCCCACGGGCCCTGAGCAAGAAAATCCCCCCTGGTTTTATGGAAGAGGGCTCAGAGACCCCTTTACAAGCCCTTTTATCTTTCCACCTGCAAGAGAAAAGGGACCTGCAGCGGTGTTTGGCTCCCGCATCCTCCTCCCACGTACAATAACCAAGCCAGCCCACATTTCCCACAGGACAGAAGTACATGAAAGCTATTTCTAATAACTCAGCTGCTGGTGGAAGGCTTTGTGTGCTGCTGAGGGAGGTTTTGGCTGTGGGCAGGATGGCAGCACAGAAATTGTCATCAACCACTCAAAGGGGAGTCAAGAGACCAATGCAAAACTCAGTCTCCTGCCTCCACAGAGGACACAAAAAGAAGATGAAACACTATTTAATGGTCTTGTGGTGCCACTGTGAATGTAGGTATGAAGGAGACATAAGTGTGGTTGTATCAGGGATGACTCCCTGGGCCATGGCTGAATGTTGTGTTTAAGGCACATCTTCGGCCCTTTGGTGGAGGAATAGGTTTTTTTCCCAAACATAAAAGTACTTCTCCTTTGAGCACAGAAGCATTTCTCTGCTACCTTGCCCATAAACATTTGGATTAAGCTGCTGTTCTAAAATGTTTCTAGGTAATATCATGACAGTTTCCTTTAAAGAGTTGTATTTCACAGCTAAACTGCTGGCTTTGTATTTCAAAATCTCAGCTACAAGGTTCCGCAGATTTTGGAGGGTCTTCAGGATTAATGTGCTAAATTTCTGCCTCTCATACTCTCATATCTGCTTTTTTCACTCATCCTGCTCTGAGGCATTTCTCCAAGAAGGTGATTTTCCTTCCTGCTCTGGCAGAAAATGCATTGGAGTTAACTAATTAAGTACAGTTTTACTGTACATCAAATATCAGTAATAATATCAGGCAGTAACGTTATGTCGGCTGTGAGAACAGGTTGCAAAAACATCATGCCTGTCATACATCACTGGGATAATGATTTGATGCATCTGTGCTGTTAAATCCTTCCTTGGCAGTGATTAGCAAGCAACAGGGTCTGGCAAGTATCTATGGGAAAGAGGATTCTGTAATGGTGAAGGCAGGGATCCTCCCCCATGGGCTGTCCTTCCCTGGGTTTCTCCCAGCCACAAAATCTAGTGTGTCCCAGAATTTCAAGATCTAATCTCACCAATCCTAAACCAGTTTACGTTTTTATAGATGCTTTTATTTTTTTCCCTCCCAAAGAATCCCCGAGTCCTTCACAAGCTACAATCATAGAATGATTCAAATTAAAGCCTTTCTCGAGTTTAGCTTTAATTCTGGTGGAATTAATCTCATTGAAGACATATTGATAACTTGCCTTCACTACCCATTTCAGGGAGTAAAAAAAGGGAAATCTTAGCTAAGCAAAACAGCAAAATATCCACTGACAGAGGAATCTGTGAGATGCTCAAAATGCAGTGCATGCAGCCAGTGTTTCTCCTCAAGTGCAGAGAAATGAATAAAGAGATTTTTTTGTGAACAAAGATCACAAAACTATCTTGGAGCATGTAAAACCCAATACCCTGCTCATCAAGCTGTGATCTCTACCACATGTATAATACCTATGGTTCTCAATGACCCACTTGTCTTCTAATGTCCACAATTTCCAAAAAATAGTAATGAAAAGAGGCAAAAAATATTAGTATAATAATAGAAATATAAGTATAATAATATATATAAAAAACCCCTAGACATAACCTCCTATAAATTGCCCATGGCCAGGTTCACTTGGGCACTGGGGGATGCAAACACAAGACTCACATCCATCTCCATTAATATTTTTAGTCAAAGGTTAAAGAACAGTAAAACAAACTAAGCTGTCAGAGAAAATACATATTAGCATTTAGATTAACAGTTATTATCTCCATTTCCCATCACCAGACAACAGTGAAATGTGTGAAGATGGTTTTAGATATTTTTTCAGAGAGGTTAAGGGGTCCCTGAATTCAAAGGGCTGGAAAACACTGGCCTGTGAGATAAATGGCACCGGCTCTGGCATGTGCTGTGTACCCAAAATACATCTGGACTCTAGCTGGAATTAAAATTCATATTGCAGCAGCAATTAAAAGACAGAAGTAGGTCATGAGCTGTTGTTCAAGGCAATATGCAGAGAGAAAAAGAAGACTGAAAGAGGAAAAAAAGGGGAAAAACTGAAGCAGGCAGCATTTGCCTTAAAAAAAATTCAGCCTTGAGAAATTCTGAAATAAAAGATAACAAAAAGAGGATAAAATAGGGAAATAAGAGTTTGGTTTATTTAGCTACGGGTTCACCAGGCAAAGGTTGTTGCCAGTAGGCAGTTCTCAGGCTGCATAATGACATCAACTCTTTTATTCCACATGGGAAGGATTGTACAAGAGATCCATCCTCAATGCCCTCTCTGTATATCACACCCAGTGCCACAATGCACACTGGAGTGTCCACATCCAATTCCAGACAAAGAAAGTGAGAAGGAAATCCCATTTCTTCCATTCCCTTTTTAAAAATGGAGATATTTTGTGCAGTTACCTGCAGGTTGGCACAGACCCTCCCTGCAGACAGCTCCTCTGCTTTTGCAGTACTGCACAGTATCACTAATGAAGGTCAGGAATTTACTGGGTGTCTCATTTTTATTCAGTCACATGAGCAAAAAGATAGTTGAACAAAATTTTAGCAAAGTGAGAACCGGACACATAACGTTGATTAAACCTTGTTTTCAGTATAATCTACCCTTAAAGGTGACCTGTTAACAAAAACTTACTACACACACAGAAAAATACCCCCTTCCTGTAAGGCTTTGCAGAGGAACATTGCCCGTTAAAGTTTGATATTATTGAAAAAAAATTAAAAATAACTTTCAATGCTCCTCCTCGGCACCCAAAAAGCATCAGTTGGTGGTTTCAGAAGACACAGCAGGCAGAAGAGTGTAGAGAGCATGTCTCTGTGTGTGGCCATGGGCTGTGCCTTGTCCTGCTTTCCCATGGGAACTCCCAAGGCAAGCCATGCCAGGTATCTTCCCAATCTTCCCAGACGTTTTGTACTCGACCTCCCAACTTTATTTTATATGTTTGCATTGCTAAGAGACACCCGAAGTCTAAATCAATGAAGTATAAAAATAAATGTAATCCATTTGAAATCCAAACAGATTTGAAGCACAAACCCCGAGGTGCTCCAGAGCACCCACAAAGACCTCCAAAATCATTGAGTCCAACCTTTGATCAACCCTAACCCTGACAAAGAGAGACATGAGAACGTCATGTCAGTGATCACAGAAAACACCTCTTTCATATGCAGTTTGAATGCACCATAAAAAACAACCCAGGCTGCTCCACCTGGCTGCACACGTGATTTTTGATACCAAATGAGCTGAACCCTTCTAGAGCACATTTTGGCCAAGTTTTAAGGACTTTTCAATAAATTTGCATGAAGATATTGTGCAGCCAGTGTTACCTTCTGCTCTGTCTTCTGCTGCTAAAAACACTTGTCTTTTTCCATATGATTATCCTGTGCTATACTACAGACACAAGGGAAATTGTATCCACATTCTCTTAATTCTTCATCTTCCAAAAGATGGCAAAAGTAAATGGCAATAATTTCATCCTTGTTTACTGTATGTTTGTTCTGCACCATTATGTGCTCTGTCCCTTACAAATCCTGCACTGATGGTCTTGAATCATCAGGAGAGGTTTGTATAAAGGCAGCAAAGGCATATTTTCAGTTGTCTGTGATACATCCCTATGCAGGAACTTAATTATTAATGGTAACATACCATCAACAAGACACAATGCTCAAAGAGAGCTGTTTATACTTTGCACAGAGGGGAGGAAAGTTAATCCATGTTCAAAATAGTGGTCATTGCATATTCCTGACAGTAGTTTCCCAAAATTTTCCCAGCTGCTCCCAGTGGAGTGTCAGGTGTGTGACTGACGTGTTACACAGGACTGTGATTAATGAGTGTTGCACATCACTGATGGAAATCTGAGGCATGTTTGAGCCTGGAACCACACACAGAGAGAGGTTTGAGTGTGACTGTCCTCTGCTCACCTCTCCCTCTCTGCAGAGATACAGAGGCAGAACTGTCTCAAGAAACAAGAGCAATGTTTCAACACCCTTGAAACCTGCCCTGGGGGGACACTGGTGTGGGTTATGCTGGACCACAAACAGGGTAAGGACTGTTACTAACTCTGCTCCTCCAGGCCTGGCTGCTCTCAGACTGGGATTTACAGCAAAGGAACACATGGAGAACCAGTAAAAACCTTTATTTTAAGAATGTGCATTGCAGTTTCACCTGTGCTGTTGCCATACGTTAAAGTGCAACATGTACAGTCACACCAGCACAGCTTT